TGTCCGGATGCCCGAATGGTAGCCATGGAAAAAACACTGAGGGACTGAAGAAGGTTGCAGCAAAGAAGGAGAAGAAATGATGAAGGAAGCAGATGAATCGGACATCCCAGAAGGAAGAGGTGAACAAAGGGATGAAAAAGATGAGGAAAAAGACGATTGGGGAGCAGACGACAACATGTCGCGGGACTGCAGAGAAAGATCCAAATACGGGAAGGGAACAAGATGCAGTTGAGGGAATAGGTGAGGAAGATCAGGAAGACTCCCTCAATTGGTTAATTAAATGTGTCAAGGGGTTGGAAAGAGAAAGAGAAATAGAATTTGAAATCAGAGTTGCAAACAACGAACACGTTCTTAATCTGCAAAACTTCAACTCGACACAACAAACATTGAGCAATTTGTTCCCCACAGAGACTCAGTATGAAATTTTAGAAAAGGAACAGAAATTGTCAGATTTCTTTGCTGAACACTACGGCGCCAAACTGGATGAGGCAGCAAACCAAGGAAATCACACACCGAACGGTCATATCTGGCTCAGATCCTACAATAATGCAGACTCCCAAAAAATGAGCAAAAGGCGCAAAGGGGGAAAAGGGGAGCACAATCGATCCCAACAGCAAGCTCCCGGGACAAAGAGCCTGAGAAGGACGGAGAGGACATACTCCAAGATGAGAAGGAAGATCTCGACAGACAAAAGGAGATCTTCAAACCACAAATCACCATGCTAAGGGACCAGAACAGAGAAACATCTGATATGGCAATCAATATGCAAAAATTGGCAGCGGGCCAAAATGCAGAAACGTTCACAACTGTCAAGCTTGACGCCAAAGGAGCGTGCAGGAAAAGGGCGATAATCCCCTATAGATGGAACACAAAGCATGGGGATTGGGAAGCGGTAGTTAGCAAATCATGGGCCCTTATTGCACTAACCAAGCCAAGAAAAAATCCCTGACAATAAACATCTCAGAGGATGCTCCATGAGCATTCGCATTCTGGGATCATGGGAGGATTGGAGAGAAGAGTGGATTGGCATAACAGGGGATCTAATGATCAGTGATCTGGTCCAGTACTCAATGGAGGCAGAGATCAAAGACCACCTCACATGGGAACCATGGAACGTAGTCCAAGAAAAATCCTACGACCTCTTAGGTGGCGATATCCCAGCAGAACGAGCAGCGGTTGCAGTGTCGCTAGCATAGGGACATGGACTCTTCGCAGACAAGCAAGAGCACATGGCTCAAGCTCTGGAGGTGGGTGCCCAGGTGGTTAGAATCCACAACTCAGAGCCCTAATGTTCCTCCCCCAACTAATTAATCTTCACTGAGAGAGGTAAGGTTGGTCCCATAGTTAGTCATCCTTGACATCACCAAACCATATAACTTAGACCACACAACCAGGCCGAATTCGATATTTCACCCTCAAGCTGAGTTAGCCTGAGTTAACAGTGATGCCATGGAACGTCAACGGGTTAGCAACAACCTTATCTAACGGCGAAAAATGAGACAATATAATCAATCAGTACAATTACCTCAATTGGTTCTTAAGGAACCCACCAGATATAATATGCATACAAGAAACACACCTAACCAACTCAGCAGAATGTCAAGCAACGATCAATAAAATACAATCAAGATTGAAACTTAAAAAAAAAAAAAAAAAAAAAAAAAAAAAAAACACTATAAAACACAGCTAGAGGTAATGATAAGAGCATGTGCCCCTAGCTATAATTATAGGTGGCTCCGGTCTATTAGTGGAGAACATCACTTGTTGGAAACCGGGTCCAGCGTCCCATGATGGAACATGTAAAAGCAAGTCAATGGGTTTCGTCCCCAAGAATTGGCTCAGCAGATACAACCATCCTCTTGAACGAAAACTCAAGGGCAACCAATCAAATGAATATCATCGAGTGTCAGACAGATATTGAAAACAGAAGATGGATATAAATTCATTTCACATACAAGGGAAAAAAATGTTTATGCACCCAATGACTCAAAGCAGAGAAGAGACTTCATACAATGTATCTCAGCAACTCGTGACACACAAAAACACCTCCTAGGAGTAGGTCATTGGAATATTGTACTTGACCCATCAAATGACAGGATCTCATCACCACAGATGGATAGGCAGGAAACCTCATTAAGTGAAACTCAGGTGATGAATGCACTCATCTTAGAAATACATCTAATAGAAACCCCTAAAAAATTCCATCCAGAAATGAAAAGGCTTTAGGAAAAGAAACAGATCACAATGCATAACAAGCTCAACAATATACTATGTTTTAGTATTCGAATCTCTTAGAGGAGCAAATCACAAGGTTGGAATAGGCAAACTTGCCTACAACAATGGTCTAGATCGTAGCCCAATCTTCATTAACCTCCTGTTTGACTCGGGAGTACAAAAAGGTCCTAACTTCTTCAAGATTAATAACTTCATTCTAGTCACCCCACAAAAGAGAGAAGCAATAGCCATTGCATGCATAGATTCGGAAAAAGAAGGACCAGACTTCCCGAGCATAATAACCAAGTTATCTGAAGCAGTCTCCACAACCTCTGGGAAACTGGCAGCCAAAAGGAACCAGCGGATACAAGAACTAAAAGCAGAGTCCAAGTGGTAGAAAGGAACCTCATCAGTAAGCCAAACCAGACTTTATACGAGGATTCACTAGTTAAAGCAAAGGCAAAATTGGGTAACTGGGATTCATGGAAAGCAAAGGGAATGAGACTAAGAGCAAGAGTCAAAGAGTGGGAGGAAGGAGAAGGAATGACGAAGTTTTTCTTCCAAAAAATCAAAGCAAGAGGGAGGAACTCCGCCATTCATCAACTTAGAGAAGAAGATGGCCTCACTTCAGATCCAAGGAAGATGCTTTCAATAGCAGAATCCTTTTATAAAAACCTCTATACCTCAAAAACAGAACAACCCACTCCAGGTCAAGTGACACGAGCAAGATAAAATTTTTGTAAACACGTGACCAAAACAATTCCCGTGTCACTAGCAGAAGAACTAGACGCACCCATTACAAACGATGAAATTAAAAAAATCTTGGACTCAATTAAATATGGAAAGACTTCTGGTCAAGATCGACTTTCAAAAGAATTTTGGCAAAGGTACAAGGAACCCTTAGAGGAGCACTGCAAGTTTATAAGAACAACATAGACTTCTGATGTCTTAGGAAAATATCTCAGTACTGGAATAGTCTCCTTAGCATACAAGACAGGGGACCCCACTGACATAAAAAAACTACCGACCTATTACAATACTAACAGTAGCATATAAGATCCTAGCTAAGCTCCTAGTAAAAAGAATAAGGAAGATCATCAAAAGTTGCTTCCACATAGATCAAACAAGCTTCATCCCAGACAGATTCGTATTAAACAACATAATGACATTAGCTGAATCAGTAAGATATATTAAAGATAAGAGATTGAATGTAGCAATCCTCTTCTTTGACTTCGAGAAAGCTTACGACCAAGTCAACTGGGAATTCCGCCAGCAATGCATGGAAAAAATGGGCATGGGTCCAAACTTCAGAAATGGGTTATAATTTTATACGACGATGCACATGGAGCAGTTCAAGCAAATGGTCACATATTTTATCTCTAAAAAATGTCTAGGTCTGTAAGGCAAGGAAACTCCCTAGCAGCCCCTATACTCGTATTTATCATGGAGGCAATAGCCTCATTCCTCAGGAAAGACCCATACAAAGACTCACAAACCTGTAGGAAGACCCCGTCACACCACACCACATACCACCCTCGATCATGTTCGCAGACGACTTGGTTGTACTCATAAGAGCATCGAATTCCTCCTTTGGGGCTCTCACTAGAGCAATGCACATATATCAATTGGCTTTCAGAATGCGAATCAACTGGCAAAAAACAATAGGATGGTGGTTAACGGATGGGAGCATAGACCTTCCTCAAAACACTCCAGACGGCATAACTTGGTCCAACACAAAACCTCATTGAGAGTCCTAGGGATCCAAATGACAGAGCACGTAGCAGAGACAAAAATGTCCCCTAGCCTTCTAGCCAAGATGACAAGTAAATTAAGTATCTGGGGCAAAATACACACCTCTGTAATTACCTGCCAAGCACAGTCTGAGACATACAACTGATTTCTGAGTTTTGCTCATGGAATGTATGCTTTGCTGAGTTTCCCACTTGTTGCTGAGTTTTCTAAGTCTGTGTGGGTGCGTGCTCGCTGATCTGCATGCCTGTCTGAGTGCTTGTCAGTTTGAGTGCGTTTGACCAACAAGGGCACTTTTCTGTTCAAAAGGCCCGAAGGGACAGTACTTACCTGTGGCCGTGATATTCAGGGTTGCAGCGGGGAAAACACTCAAGTGGCGGGGAAAGAGGCCCGCGACACTTAGAGCAGCGGAAAACACTCAAGTAGCAGGTAGGCCGGTACCACACCAAGTAGAGGTAGATGTGCCGGGTACTCGAGGCCGAGCAGAAATTGGATGAAATTGAAACCGAGTTTTTTGGCAAAAAACTCGTCCAAATTTGTTGCTCCTGAGGGTCCGGCGTGAATGTATGTGGACTTCGCTGAAGACCAGATACATCTAGGGGGGACCGTATCTGGTCTCAAGCTGAGTCCACATACATCCAGGGGGTCCATCGTCTTAAGAACGCCGAAACCTTAATGAGCAGCAAATTTGGATGAGTTTTCGGCCAAAAAACTCGGTTTCAATCTCGTTCAAAAAATAAAAAATATCCATTTTGACGAAATGGCAGTTCTTTGGGCTTCCACACCATAAGGGGGAGGAGCGTGAGTGTGTTTTTCTTGTAATCATTTCAGACTTGCCGGTGGAATTGGAAACGGACTGATGCTCCCCAGAATGGAAAAGGAGCCAGAACCCTAAGGTTCTGTTTTTTCTTTTTTTTTAAAAAGGGGGGTTGTTGTTGTGGTGAATCTCACCAAACAACACACATGCGCACACACACAGACAGACAGACACACACAATGGTCAGCTTGTAGCGAGGAGATCGCTGAGGAACCCCTACCTGCAGGTAGGTGACCCGCTTGTTGAAGAGCTCCTTCCGATTTCCATTGAGCTTGATAGAGGTAAACTGCTCACTGACGTCGTGGTCAAGGGAGGACAGGAGGTACAGCAGAGGCAGTGGAACAGCCAGCAAGTTGCAGTCATAGTAGGCAAAGACATGCACGAAACAGCACAGGCCCATTCACCAGTGCAAAACAGGTCACACAAACAGGTATGCCTATGCAATCCATTGCGCCGAGAGGGAAAAGCCAATGCGTAGTAACAATATCAAGCAATAGCAATAGGAAAGTTCGTCGAGGAGGAAGAGGAGCAGAAGAACGAGGAGGAGGAGGAGGACGAGGACGAGGACGAGGAGGAGGAACAGAAGGAGGAGGAGTATGAGGAGGACGAGGAGAAGAAGAAGGAGATCAGCAACCACAACAATGACTACGATGACAACAAGAACAACGACCACCATAACAACACCAGATACGTAGTAAATCATTTTGGTTCAGACTGTCGATGTGGCTGATCTGATATTGGTCCAAGCTGGTCTGCAGCATCATTCTACTTGTTATACTCCTACGGGACTATAGCTCTGCTTCAAGTTGCTGGAAAATCCCTTCTGCGTACCAACAGATATACACTATGTCCCTGCTTTTCCCACTTTCACTTGTATGTCCCTGTACTGGCTACATTGGACTCTTGTCCCGTAAGTTGCCCTCGTGTGCAGATGTGTCCCTCCCAAGACACAGCACAACAGCATGGCCAACAAGTTGCTCACTTGGGATATCCAACAACCCAAAGCTTTAACCAAAAAAAAAGGAAAACAGATGCAAGCCCCGGGAATGATGGTGAGTCCGAGACCAAAGCCCGAGGGCCGAGGCTGATGCCAAGTCCCCGAGAATGATGGCCACCCTTTGTATGTCTATTTTTGCCAAAGAGGGGGTAGGGGGGGGGGGGGGGGGGGGGGGGGGGGGGGGGGGGGGGGGGGGGGGGGGGGGGGGACGGAGTGACGGGGGAGTGGCTAGCCAAGGTAGAGTTGTTGTGGCATACTGCGCAGCCACACGGGCCTGCAGGGCCCGACCAGACGGAAAATAAGGGCCCTACAGGCCCGGTGTCGTTTCATCCTAAAAGCCTGAAAACGAGGGCCATTTTCAGGCCCTCATAAAGTCAACCTGCCCTGAAACTCAGCCGCCAGACCACGGTTTAGCACAGGCCATTTTTGGGCCTGTTTCAAGACAACCTTTGTTTGAACTTCAACGCCAGGGTCTGGCACGTTTCGGCATTAGCAAGAGCAGCCTCCCGGACGGGCCAGCACTATATAGAACTGGCCCGCCCTGCAGGCTGCAGGTAGTGCATAGGGACTTCCCAGGCAGTTCACGGGCACTTCACGTGCAGGAGGCAGGAGGCGGTCTTCAGGATTCAACAGCAGCACTCTGGAGGAGTGCTGCAGTAGTAGTGGTAGCGTTAGGAGTAGCCTTCAGCGCTGGGCGCTATTAGGAGCTAGGGTAGCGTTGGAGAGAGAGAGAGTTGGCGGAGGCCAGGGAGACTTACCTGTGGCGCCATAGCTCCAGCTTCGTCTTCGATGTACCTGCAACGAGGCGCCACCTTCACAGGTTAGTACCGGACTGAGAGAGAGAGAGAAATTTCTTCTTCTTCCTCTTCTAAGTCCACCATCTCTCCCTCACCCTCTCGCTACCTGACTTCTCAGTATCTGCGTGCTACGGGAGAGAGAGAGATTGCCATTGGTGACTTTGGGACTTGACGACATCTGGATTCAGACTCGACATTGGGGTTGAGACACTGGACGAGGGATTATTTGGGACCTATATCGAAGACTTGGTGTTGACAACATTCCCATCTTCCCCCTCTTCTTCGTCTGATCCCCTCCTCTTCGTCTGTGTATGGTCTGGACCCGGCGCGTTCTTCCTGTGTGTAGCAACAGGCCCTTCACACCGTGCGATGATGATGATGATGTATGTTTGGTCTGCATTGCGACATTGATTGGTTTGCTGACTCTGATCATTGGTATATTAGCCTTCCGCTGCGCTATCCTGTAGTATGTGAGAGAGGTCGGTTCTTGTTCTGGTCTGTACCGTTACCGTATGCGACAGTTGTGGAGAATGCCGAATGCACGATCTATGGCCCCACAAGCGAGATCCAGAACTTGGAGATTGACCCGGCAGAGGGGCCTGGAAGATCCGGAGGGACCCAACAGTGGCCTGCAGAGATTCCATCCACCTCCTCCAAATACACCACGAGGTTGGGATACAGAGTGAGATGACAGTCTGCGAGAAATGATAGTCCGCGAGATAATTGCCAGCAGGTGAATGAAGCACACAGACACTGCACTTGATCACATCTGTGGTTGGATATTAACCAACGTTCTTTCACAATGATTGGGTTACATATTCTGGTCCGTGGTCCATCGGGCCACGAAAAAAAAAAAAGCTCACTGACCTGGCCGGGCAGCGGACATCCCCTGGAAGTCGGTGCTGGCAATCAGAAACACGAGGATCAGAAGCATGCAATGGGTGATCATCTACATCACCCTCTCGGTCAACCAGTGGCTGTGCACACATATAAGTCAGCAACATAGAAGTCAGTACCACTAGATGACCTCTGTGCCATATGCGAGACAAGTCAGGCCGAGGACATCACATATTGCCTAATTGCATGCCCATAGGCCCGCCAGATCTGGGACAGAGTAGCAGATCTGTGGTACCTTTACCGGACGGGGTGCTTCAGTCCCTTACGGGTTTTGCCGGCATGGCTCAGCTTGAGGCATACCAACGCAAGCTGCTCCACAGACTGAGGTCTTGGGCACTCTGGATAATATGGGAAAGAAGGTGCCGAAAGCCGTAAAACAAGAAGCAGAAATCCCCACAACAAGCATGGGAAGAGCTTCTTCGACTGCTGGAGGCAGAAAACGGGGATCGACCGGTTCAGAGCAAGGAAAGAGACAGAGAGAAACCCGGACAAAGTGCAGGCCATCCAACACGAGTTCCACGTGAAATCGCTCGGAGCGGGCAGGATAGGTGTGATAGAGAGAAATAGGGTCCGTGTCGGATGGCCCCCTCAATCGAAACGGCCCGACACAGACAAGGATGACCCGGCAGACGACATGGCCCATAGTCAATCGGGGTGCGGTAGTTATGGTTTGGCAGCGAACTAGTGAATCTTAATCAACTGAGTATGGCCGTCTGGCTGCACACAGAGGCGGCAGGACGACCGTACAGGCTAGGCTGTGTGGCCATGAAAGCTCTTTCTCTCGCAGCCTGGACGAGCGCCCCCCCCCTGGGTCTCCCCGACTAGTGCGGCTAACACCCCCTAGTCGGCTAGGGAAGAAAAGGAGGGTACATTGGCGAGGAAAGAGAAGAGGGCCACTAAGAGCGAGGGCACAGGGCAGGAGAACCGTGGCAGTGGGGGTATGCCCCTCAGTATAGCAGTGCAGTATAAGGAAAGGTAGCGGGGCACATCAGATACGACAGGGGGAAAGGCGCAGACAATAAAGATACAGAGCAGATGCTGAGCAGTGATACATCCTCCTCTATAGGGAGTAATCACTGCCGGTGTCTCGGGGCCTCCCGGCCATAATGGGGCGGAGCAGGTTTCCACTCATTATAATGAAAAAGGTTTCCGCTTTTCAACCAAAAAAAAAAAAAAAAAAAAAAAAAAAAAAACGACCCAAGAACTAAGTGAAAGACATGCTTTCATCTCACGGGCAAGTCAAAACATCACAGACACAGAAATCTCAGACAAGAACTCAGTAGTGAAAAGTTAGTTTTTCTTCAGGAGACACAAAGTTCCCAGTCTGCTAATTGCAATCAATGGTCATCGTCGCATAGGTGCATCTGACCGCAGTTGTGGCCGTATCCAATCACGAAAGTCCAAGAGTGAGTATGAATTTCGTTGAGCGTACATAGGATCGTGGCGCATAAGCGATATGCCTGTCAAACTTCATCATCCAGTTTCCGTTTTTTCTGACTCTAATTCGTATGTTTTACTGGAATGTCTTACTCCCCCCCCCCCCCCCCTCTTCGGTTTCATTCGGAGAGAAAGTGGCCGGGCATCATAACCAGTTCAGTCTTTTTTGGTGATTATGATTTGTCCTGCTGTGGAAGGACAGCAGTAACAGGAGGACATTGAGGAAGTGATGGGAGACAATAAGAAGAAAGAGGAGGACACGGAGGAGGAGGAGGAGAGGAAGGAGAGTAGCAGTAGGAGAAGAGGAGAGGAGTGTAAGAAAAGGACTCTCTCTCTCTCTCTCTCTCTCTCTCTCTCTCTCTCTCTCTCTCTCTCTCTCTCTCTCTCTCTCTCTCTCTC